GGAGGAGGCGGAAAAAGAGCCCAAGATTTGTCAAAAATTTCTCATTTAGTATCACATCGTGTTCGTGTGACTTTGAGTTTTGATTAAATTTCACTTTCTGAGTTATTTTATCCGAAAGCCAGTCGAGAATCACAAGCAAACCGAATTGAGCTAATCACGATAACAGTATTTTGAAAAAATTGCGAATGTGATAGTTTTTTGCATCTTCTCGCAAAGTAATTTCCCTAATGAAAAATCAGCGTGAATTCTTGTCTAAAGTCTAAAAACTTTTTTTAAAGAGTCTATAAATTTTACGCTTTGAAGTACTTGAAAAAAATGTTTCCGGTGTCGCAGTTGTAGCAATTACTTAATTTTTGCAGATTGTTCGACCTGAAATGTTAGTGAAAAAGTTTTCTGATTAAGTGTATCCTCGAGTAACTTTAGTGAGTTTTACTTTCTGCGATTGACAATTAGTACCATTCTAGTCCAGAAAAAAGTGCTGAACCAGAAAACAAGAGACTATTAGGAACCACTATATTGAAATGCCGCTTGATGAGTGCATGACCCCTTCATGACCCTATTAAACACGACTGGGCTGACAATACTTAGTTTTTATTCTACTCCAACAAAAATTGTTCCGTTGTGCTGCCACATAAATGAAAAAAAATCGTGCTACCAAATCACTGCGTTATTCAGTGCGTACGATGCGTTCAAATTATTGGGTTTTATCGACATAACAGGGTACTAGACTTTTCCCCCGTAAATAACTTTGTTCGCCACAGAATTGTCAATTTAGTAAAAATTTTATTTTTGACGCTCTATGGCTGAGATGCTCAATTTCTTGACAATTTAAATAAATATCATAATTTAAGAAGTAATTTAGTGGATTTCGGGTTCTTTTCCAGGTTACCATCCTCCTCGTTAAATTCCAAAAAAGTTCAAAAAGTGTTTACAGCATTTTCCATGTCATAAACACTGTACAAACTTGTTCACCTGTTCACGCTGACACTTTTTAAGGCAGTTTATAACATGAAAAGTCATATTAAAGAGCCTTCAGAAAAATCAAAAAAGGAACTGAAAGAGAGCCGGATTTAGTTTCAGAAAGTAAATTTCTGTTGCAAACATATTTCATGAATTAAGTATGATTTTGTTTAGGAGTAATGAACGTACTCAAGACTCTGATATAGATTTAGGTGAATTTTTTTTCAGGAAAAAGTCTTAAAATGCTCTAATAACTACAGATGTGCATTCACCTATAGTAATGCTTTTAGATGCCATTACGTATATTTGCACTTTTTGAGTTCATTTGAAGTTCATCTGCTGAAATTGACGTAAATAGCATTCTCCAAATACGAACGTGGAAATGGCGCAAAAAACGGACAATTTTTCAATTTCAAAAGTGGAGTTTACATTTAAGATTTCCAGTGAAATAAAAACTTTACCGATTGATCCAGTTTTCTCAATTTGGGTTATTTTTGTCTAAAAGTACCAATCATAAATTGTTCTAGAAGTTCAAGCTATTTTTTTTTTGAAATTCGAAACTTGAGATACCTTCCGTGTTTTCTGTTACCTTGCGTACATTAATTTTTTCCAGCTGTCTGTTGGCTGTGTTCTTTGCTTTTTTTCAAAAAAAATGCTTAAATCTTGTTTTTTTTCACACTAAACTTTGTTTTTTTTTTGTGGTTCGACTTTTATTTTCTCTGTAACTTCAATTCAGTTTCTTTTGTTGAAAAAAAAACAGTCTCCAATATCAAACAGCAAAAGTGTAAAAGTCACAAAAAACTTAAAAAATTTACTAATTGATCCAGTTTTCTCAAACTGGGTGACTTTTATCAAAAAATCCGTCATAAATTGTTCTTAAAATTTGAAGAGCTGTAGGGTCATCTATTTTTTTACTTTGAAATTGTGAAGTTAAATTTTTGTCAAAATTTAATCATTATATTTTTTGTTTCACTGCGATCATGACTGTGGCTATTTTCCAGTTCTCACCTCGATTCAATATAAGAAAGTCTGTTTAAAATGACTTTTTTTGTTAAAAACTGAAACTGTATCAAAACGTATCAGCGCTAACACGTGAACAATTTATACAACCTTTCTCATAGGCAAAAAACCGTGTTAACAACTTTTCAATAGCTTTAATGTGTAATTTTACAAGGGGGTGGGAAACTGGAAAAGAGCTATTACTCTTTTCCAACTGTTTTTGGCTAAGTTAGTTTGAATTACAGAATATTCAGTAAGAAGGCAGTGCTGCGAAAAATCTTCTCTGCTTAGAAAGTTTGCTTGGTTGACGTTTTAGATGTAATGGAGCAGCCGCGACAATTTTTTTGACAAGAATTTTGTTTTGAACCCAAATTTCAGCTTATAATGCGCGTTGGAAAAAAATTGTTTTTGTATTTTTTCATTTAATGTTGGTTTGGTTCTTGGTTTTCAGAAAGCAAGCATGTGATATAACTGAAAAACACAGTTTCAAGTTGAACAGCCAATTACTTCTCAGAGCCAGGTTTAATTTTTTTTTCGAAATTTTGTAGTAAGCAAAATCTCATAAGGTTCTTACCCCAGATCGTTTTGAGCGAAAAGTTTTTTTAACTAGTGATCAAGACTATTTTTGATCATGTGTCAATCTGTGAGCAAATACAATCAGCAATGTCTCATTTAATTTCCCCTTTTCATTTTGGCAAAAAAAATCAATTTATCAACTATTTTTATCAGTTTTTAAGAACTATGAACGTAGTGAAGACTCTTATATCGGTCTTGCTGATTTTTTTAAAATTTTTTTCAGGAAAAGTCTTAAAAGTCTCTAATAATTACAGGTGTTCATTCATACATAATGATGCATTTATGAACGCACTTAGGTTTATATGCACTTTTTGAATTAATTTGAAATTCATCTGCTGAAAGTTACATAACATAAATGGCACTCTCCAATAACGAACGTGGAACTGGCGCGATAAAAACGCAAACAATTTCTGTTTTCGAAAGCAGAATTTTTTAGATTTCCAGGCGAATGAAAACTTTATCTATTCAATCAGTTTTTTCTAGTTGGGTTCATGTTGTCAAAAAAATGCCAATCAAAAATTGTTTTTAAACTTTGCAGAGCTTAACGGGCATATATTTTTTTCATTGAAATTTGAAAGTTGAGATTTTTTCGGGGAAGTCAGTGTTTTTTTTATGTTTACATGCGTTCATTACTCTTATCCAATCTTCGATTGGCTATGTTTGATTATGATGATGATAATGTCAATCTATGCTGAACACATAGAATCCAATAATTTTTTTGTAGAAGATTTTGTGTGTGCTGGTGAGGCAAATGCTGGTTGTTTTTACTAGCGTGTCATATGAAGAGGCGCAGTGCCGAGTGTTTTCCGTCAGGGAAAATCGTAGGGTTTGTACAATAGTCATATTGGAATTTTTTGAGTCCGTCACTTGCTCGTATAGTTTTGTTTCCGTCTAAGAATGGTGGCGGATTGTCGAAGTCTACTGGTGGTTTTGGTTTGGTATAGCCTTGTAATCTGTTGAGCTCATCGTTCAAGTTGTATTGATGCTGCATTTATATCGTCACTTGTCAGTTCGTTGCTTATGTTTTTTTTTGTTGCGGAAGTGTAGTCCTTTTTCTTTGGTTGACCTGAAGGCACTTACACTAGTGGACAAAATTAAGCGCAAATTTAGGAATTTACTCTATAAAATACCTGTTATCAATGTAAGTTTTTGACACAAATTTACTAGCATTTTACATAGACCAAGAGCGGATGAGCAGAGCTACCATCTGTGAAAGTCTCAATATTTGGTTTCCATGACTTACTAATGTAATCCGGGTCTGAAAATGCCAGTTCTCACCTGCACTAAGTTTTGCGTCGTAGTGAAATTTTGAATGAGTGGAGTAAAAAGTTTGTTCATGCAACTTGAAACATTCTCAGCGAGAAAATGGAAACAATCAGTGTGAACATTTTGCTAAGCTCAGAAGTTTGTTACTTATTCACGCGAAGTAAAAAAAAACTAGTGCAGATGAGGAAACTGGCATTTTCAGACCCGGATTACATTGGTAAGTCATTGAAACCAAAAACTGAGACTTTCAAAGATGGTAGCTCTGCTCATTTGCTCTCGGTCAATAAAAAAGTTTTCCTGAATTTCGAAGGTAATGTTGTTCAAAATGTACAGTGAAAACAGGCATTTTATAGATTAAAATCCTGAATTGCACTTAACTTTGTCCACTAGCGTATTACGTATGCTGTTGTTCGGATTCTCAATGAAACTGCTTTCCGTTTTTTGGTGGATCTATAAATAGCTACTGCTGGGGTTGGGTCTTTTTATCCTCGGATAAATATAATTTGGCATTATCTTCTTTTCGAATGAAGTGCAGGAGTTGCTATAACTCATGTTGGTTTTTTCTTGGTAGCGTTCAAATCAACATTCGATTGGTCCATCTAATAGTTAAATGTGGTTGTTCAATTTCCGCGGGTTGCATGTTCTTATCACTAACTTGACACAAAAGTCGACCTTGACAAAATGCCTGATCACAAAAAACTTTGACAAAATGCCTGATCTGCGTGGGCTAGAGCCAGTTTAAAAACTCGCATTAGATACATCCGGCTTTGCAATTGTTTCATTTGTGCGCTTTCTTATCATTTTTGGCACGCTATTGCGCGTACTTCTCTTATCGGTTGTTTCAGTTTGCGTACCTTCCGCCAAATTTTCTTGTGATTTCCTTTATGTCTCCCTTAGCAAATCTTCTTTAACCGGAAACTGGGTATCGGCTCATAATATCTCGAGCTCGGGATTAAGCTCAATGACCATGATTTAAAAAAAACTGGCCTCGAGATTAAGTCCAAAATTGAAATGTGCAAGTCTGAAATTTGTTTAACGAAAGACTTTTTAAAATGACTCTTGACGTTCTAAACTTCAAAAAAAGCAAGGTAACCGATTTGAGCAATGTTTTTCAGTTGAAATTTGTCGAATGAACAATTTTTTGACATCCATATATGTTAGTTTTACTAGGGAATTGTGCTTAAGGTGATTGTGTTTAGTTCTGGACGGTGGAATGGGGGCGGCTGCGATGGCTGCACAGCAGAGCCAGCAGGCACAGGCCATGCACATGAACCAGATCAACATGCAACTGGCCCAGGCAGCAGCCGCTTTCAACTTCCCTCCTACAGCCGGCATGTTTGGGCCATCCAACTGAGGTTCACGCGAGGATTACGCGAAGATGACATGTGCGAAGGGAAAATGGACGAAACCAGGATAATTTGGATAATGAAATGTGATGATGTGAACACAAGCATCGACTAGTTACCACACAAAATCAAATTGTGAGCATGCAGACTAAATTCCAAAATTATCGAAAACACTCAATGAAATTTTGCGACAAAGCTTATATCAACCTGGAAAAATTTACGTTCTGTTAATTCTGTTGCAGTTTGTGATTCCAATTATTCGAGATATCGATCATTTTTATTATTTTGAGAATAAGCAACAACCTTGCGGCTACCGGTGACTTTTGTTTGTAAAAATAGCTCCTTATGTTCTAAAGTCAATATGGTATAAAGTCTCAACTATTTGTAACAGTTTCGCATCAACTAGCCTGAAAATTGTTGAATATTTAACAGCCAAGTTTCGCCATCAGTTTCATATCCTTGTGAAAATCAACCTTTAGCTAACCTGCATTAGCACAATAGAATTCCTACTAGAGCACTCATTGAGGAAGACGCAGCATTTGAAACTTTCACGTTCGAATTTCTAATGATTAATTAATGATTAATGATGAAGTGGATCGATCGAAGTCGCTTCGGTTAAATCGCTTTAGCTTAAATTTAATATGTTTCAATGGGAGGTCTAAATTGACCACCGGACACTTTGCATTCAAAAGTTACTTTTAAATTGTAATCTCTAATCTCAAATTATAATCTTGATTTGCGCTGTGGGGCTCAACTTCTCTTAATCGTTGAATAATATCTCTTATTTGGTGTCGTTCGCCGCGTTGCAAGAGTTGTCGGTGAACCAAAACCCGACCTCTGACGCTATCGGGGAACAATGAAGCTCATCAACTGGACCATTTCATGTGCCTTAGTGTAGTTTAATAGGTCGCTAATAGCCGTTGTGTTTGAACGTATGGTTTTGTTGAGTTATTTTACTTTGTAAGTAAAAACTTGAATTAACTTATTGCCACTTTCATCTTAGAAGAATAGTTCAGAATCATTACTATACAGGTCTAAGTTTCAAAGGTTTTTCAGAATCTATGTTAAGTATTTAAGAATATCTAAGAAACTTCTTGCCAAAAATTTTATGATAGGAACGAACTTTCGGCACTTTGCCCACTTTTCCCACTTTCCCACTTTTGAATTTCAAATCTGAAACTTTTTTAACATCGTCTTAATGCAAGGAAACTTTGCATAGCAATTAAACTATATATTGTGAGCCGATTTGCTCATAATTTAAATTGTGACATCACGCATCTAGCCATTAAAACACGTAAAAACATCTTTAAAACTAGAAGATTTGAGATGCGGAGGGGAAGCGGGAAAGAGCTAAAATAGTGTTTTGAAAATCTTTGAAAACTCCCATCATAACCCCTCAGCTTATATTTAAAGACTCGCCACAGTATGATTTTTAGGTGTCAAAGAAGACTTTTATTGAGATAAATTAGCAACAACGTCGTTACTCGAAGTGTAGTTGAGTACTCACATCTCGGCTCATCAACTAAGATATTCAAAAGGTTACAAGAAAAGATTATTAATTCGAAAATTTAACTCCTTGATTAATTTAATAGTCTGGAAAAAATGTAGAAGTAATACTATTATGCAAAAAAATTGCTCTATTTTTTGTTTTTGGTTTTTGGCCTGCCAGCTAAGGGTACGCCAGTCCATTTTCTTGTTGCTTTATTTTGAGAATTTATCCTAAAAATTATCAAAAAAAAGTCCTTATATATTTATTTATTTGTATGTATAAATAAATTACAATCAGAATGTAACAAGTATCAGAAGTAAATATATGGGCTGTGCAGACCAGCAATTAGCACCACTCAATAACCAATGCAATTAGTGGAGAACAAGTTAGCTTAAACATGTATATTAATCTTGATCAAAAATTGTAGCAATACCTCGTTATCTTTAACAAACGAAGAATTAGGTTGTTTTTCTGTGCTTACAAACCTGAGATTTGGAAAAATAATTCAAGTGAAAATGAAGATTATTATCGGTAAGGTATCCGATATCTGATTAAAAGTTTCTCATATCTTTTGTTTCAACAAAATATAATGCAAAGTATCAATGACTTATTCTTTGAAAAGATACCAAATCTTCTCCATTTTTTGTTGGAAAAAGTACAACACTTTTTTTGATTTATCAGTAGTTAATTGAAATATACTAACAGACCGTAAGAAATCACAGGGAATAAAAATGTTTTTATCAAACTGGATTTGTGAAATATAATAAATCAAAGCGTGATATAAAACTCAATTAAACATTCTGAGGCTATTCTGCTATTCCCAGGCACACATTATTTTCATAACCGCTCAATTCAATTTTTATCTACCAACACACCTAAATAGTTCAACTATTTGCCTAGCAAGCTATCATAATTCCTTATTCACAAAGTTTACTACTGTAACTTTTCACAAATTCAATCAAGTAATGTTTTCCGTGTTAATGGTTTTTTTTATAAGCACCGCACCAGTCAGATACTCTCAACAGCTCGCTATGAAATTAATATTTTTTGAAGGTTTGCGGATTGCTGTATTTCACAGTTGTGTCGTCCGCAAAAGTGTCACTTCAGCATAGTGTAAGCAATCCGGTAGATCACTTAAAAACAGCAGAAACAATAAAGGATTTAACACTGAGTCATCAGCCACGCCGCAAGTTGTATTTTGACATGATGAAAAAATGAATTATTTTGAATATAATATTTTCGTTTTTCGCAATAGTTCTTCAACAAAATAGCAATGGCTCGTGGAATCCTAGAACTTGCAGCAACATCTCGGCAGCAACACAAAAACGTTGACCTCACCACCCCCCAAAATAGTCTGAACAAATTAAGAAAATTGTTGTATACAATAGAACTGAGTAACAACAGAATTGACATGAGTTGAATAACAAGAATCAAAATTGCAGAGAAAAAAAATGAAATTGAACAACAAGAAACCAACTTTTGTTGAAAACATGGAAATGGCTCGGTGCGTTGAAAGTCGCACGTCAATATAGTGGAAAAAATATATAATGGAATTGTATTGTATTTTTTTATAAAAGTGAAAAATTATTGATTATAGTTGATTTGCAATGGATTTATATGCTTTATGAAATAATAGCAATATAATCTATGTTTAATTTATTATAAATGATTACCTTTCACTTTTATAGACACTGGCAAAAAAACTCACATTTGATTAATTTTTATCCTTGGAACTCCAAAACGGGTTATTGTTCGTGTCTGAAATTTGTTTATTGATGGCAATCAACTTTCAATCAAGCTTGCATAAATGCAAATCAGTTTTTCACATGAGGCAATTTATAATTTGTTCAGCCATTGATGATTATGTTAATAGTAAGGTTCGGTTAGTACTAAGCCACGGGTTTTAATTAAATAACTGTTTTCGTAATTAACTAACTATTTCTGAGAAACAAAAAGAGAAAATCGAATAATCAGAGGGATATGCTTTATTTTAAATCATTCTATTGAAAATCTCCAGAAAACCGACAGTATTTCAAAAATTATACGTCTTCATCGAAGCTTGTGATCACATGGTGGGAATCAGGCTAGACGATGTGAATTACTAAACTGAAATTTTGAAAACTTCTGGGAAATTTAACCACAAATGAAAAACTTGGCGTTTTTTCAGTTTCTCTACCTTTTTAAAAGAAAATTTGTTGAAAATATTTTGTTTTGCTGCTACTGCAGCAAATTATTGTAAAAACGCGAGTTTTAATCAACTTTTCCTCAACTAAGTTGAAAGCTTTTAAAGAACTATTTCGCAACTAAAACGTTTTTCTTTTACTGAACTAAAATCATGGGAATGGTTACTACTATATCAGAAAATGCTCTTAAAATGAGCACGCATTTATTTGAAGCGGTAACTTTGAGTTCTGCGTCGGTAAAAAGCTAGAAAAAGCAAGAAATTGAACGGCAAAGAACGCTTGCTCTGCTTTTCTACGTTATGCATCCCAAGAGGTGGTGCTAGGGATTTTAGCAAACCGGTTTCTAGCAGAACAATTTTTTAGTAGACTAAGAACTATTAGCCAGTCAGAACGTTAATTTCAAACGCAATATTGGCAATCAGCGACATGCGACACGTGTGCAAACATGCGACAGGTGTGTCTTTAAGCGAGTAAATTCCGCTAAATTAGACTGTTATGTTTCTGAAGTTAAGTTTTTTGACAAATTGTGAGATAATTGACTTTGATAGGAAAACTTGAACCAAGAGTGAGCGTGTTGTTACGTCTGTCAATTGAATATGGGTCAGTTTTTGTACGTTGGTCTGCTAAGAGACTCACGTTTCACACTTTTTATGCTAAAAGATTAGTCTGCTAAAAGATCGGTACCCCATGCAGCAATTAGGACTCGGATTTTGCCACCAATTTAGATAGTTATGCATAGAAAAAAGCATGGAAACACTTTGGCCTATAACATTCTGCTAGTAATATTGCCTGTAATATTAATTTCTCATTGCCTGTAATATTAATTGCTTAGTCTTTTTCTTTTCCAACTTTCTTTGATATTCTTTCCTTCCAAATATCTGAATCGATAATGGAAAATAAAATTTTTTTCGCCCGATAAAATTTTTTATGAAAACATGTCATTGCTAACAAGTGAGAATATTTGAACCACTTTTCCCTCTTTTTGATTGCAGCAACAGTTTTTCACAGAATTATATAGGCATTCAACGATGCATTGATGATCTGGAATCGAGCCTCCGATCTCAGGGAATCCCAATGAGCAGGGGACCGAATAACAAACTAACAATACCACAACAACCATTTCACAAAACCCAAGCTTGCAACGTCTTAACACTAAAACAAGACTGCTCGGATATCAGGGCAAAACCCTGAAAGTTCCCATTGTCCCTTAATTCATGTGGAATAGTATTCTGGAAAAGAAAATTTTGAAAACCTATAAAATTGGGACAAAAAACGTGTGAAAATTCGAGTCGTACAAAATTAATACGACCAACTAGCATGGAACAATTTTGTTGTGCGGGATAACTCGCCACGCCTAAATAATTCGCGTTACGCTCTCAGCATAATGAATAAATTCTTCAATCAATGCGCGCATGATTTGGTCCAGAACCTGGCCAGTTTGGCAGCTTTCATAATCCCCAGAGATTTAGAAAAAATAATTGGAGGTAAAATATCTTTATAAAATGGAACTCAAGAATTTGATATCTTCAATGGGGTTGAAGAAACTTTTGTTGAGAACTATTATTTCAATCGGTGAGAATTGACCGAATAAAAAAACACAGCATGCATAAGTATTCCATTCTTCGAAAATCGGAACAATTAGCATTCCTTGACAATATTATGATAATGAAGACGCGCACAAAAGATTTCCTTTTTTTCTCCCAGGATGAAATTAAATGTTTATTAAAGAGGCCTAGGAAATAAGACAAAAAGCAAATTAGACGCGACCAAAAATTTTGAATTTAGACGTCGATGCAAAGCTACAAATATGGGAAATTGGACGTACTGGGAAATTGGATTAACAAACACTCAATTACTATGATCACCATACTCGCAGATATAAACAAGCCATGGGGAATACTATCACGACAATGATTAAAAACTAACTAACAAAAAAATTTGGTCAACAGGGAACAGATCTTGCATGTACCCACTGCTCACATATATGATCACAAACTACAAAAGGCTCTTTGACTGATATCGAACACAACAGAAGTCGTTTCAACTAAATTAAACGTTTTTAACACTATACAAACAAAATTGCTCGTATATCAGGACGAGGCCCTGAATGTTTCTACTGCTCATTAAGGTCAATTAAAAAAATTTTTGATTAAATTATTGACGAAAGAGTAGACAAAAACTGCTATGTAAATTACGAAGTGAGCGCTTAGCATCTCTTATTGTTTCAAAAGGACTAAATTGCTGCTCTCAATTCAATTTGGAAAGCATAAAATTGGCGCTTGCGCATTTTATTAGGAACGCTTAATATCGCACCTTGATTAACCCGAATTGACCAAATTAGCAATTTCAAAACCCCTATAATTTGACAAAAAGGAATCACAGGTTAAAGTTTTTTTTTAAATTTGAGCTCATCACAAGAATATTTCTCAGATAGTATAAGAAAATTTCGTCAAAAACATTTTAAAAAGTTGGAACAAAAAGATATAAACGACACTAATAAATACGTATTAACCTGACCCATACTTAATTTTATTTTCCATTTATACGGAAAAATCATCTTTATCATAACCCTTTTCTAAACTTTTCATTCATCATCAGGGGCACTCAGTTTCATCGAACACTGAGACAAGATGGCCCTAATTTGCATTGCTTTCTTTCCTACTTTTGAACCAAAAACGGTAATTTTTCAACTAATTTGAATAGTTTCAGACCACCTAGTATAAGTTTCTTGAGCATCAATATTATGCTAAAAAAAACGATAGAGTATATAAGTTATTCGAAGAAAGAAATAATTTTTTGCACAAGACGGGTACATTCAGGATATCAACCGAGTTTTATAGCCCCAATCAAATAGATCTAAAATGTACGAACTAATATCAATCCTTGTTCATGAATCTTCATATCTCTTAATTGGTTTTTTACTGGTTTCTTCCCCAAGCCAAGAAACAAAAAAACTGAATGTTAGAGAACTTTGCACGACATTTTTTCCATGCTGATTTAATTTTTTTTTGCAAATCATAGGGATTAAATAGGAAACACGGATAGCCGGTTACTGGGCAAGTAGAAAACAAGAATTTGCGTGGAATTACTGAAACCAGAATTTGCGTGGAAAAAATCTAAGAAAGACACGAGTACAAAGTTGTTCACTATTTTCAATGGTCGGAACAAAAAAAGGAAAAAATTTTGTATGACAATCCGTGTTATTAAAATATTTACACCAAATTGAAAAAAAACTTCCAATTTAGGACCCTTTGTTTTCAAATATTCTTTTTAACCCAGTTGGAAAGAAATCAGCAATCAGCATTTTAATGCCACAAAATCATGACATGTACCAGGACAGTCCATCTATATATGTTCCGCGTTTATCGCCAAACACGCATCATTCCTTTGCCCTAAAATAAAACCAAAGGATAGATTAAATATAATACCAGATCTTAGTCCATAATCAGCATGAAAAAATTAAGCAAATATATTTGACTCAGATGAAAAATTAACTTTTTCATTTAAATTTTTAAACTAAAAACAGTTTTAACTTTAGTTTGTTGGGGAAAGCGAATAATTTTGTTTTGAAACCAAGATTCTGGTTGGCTCATAAAAAATTTTGGTTGGGTTGGTTTCCAAAAATTTTATGCTATTATTCGTATTCTATTGAATATCTTTTGGTGCTTTTGATGTGATCTGTGTTCTTTATAGTTTCTCCAATTCGGCTTCATATATTGTTCATCTGCCTTACAGATAACGAGAACATTTCCTCAATATCTCTCGCGATGAAAGTCACTAGAATTGATGAAAGAAGTGCATCATGGATCTCTAGTTGATGGTTCTAGCATAGAAGCATTTGCAACAGATGAAAATGCACTTTGTTGGTAATGCATTTGAAGAAACTGCACATTGAACGTATTAGACGGCTCAGAAATGGAACTTTATACAAAATGTACCCAATACATTGTTGTAGCAAACCTATTAATAATGAAATGATTTTCAATGGCACAGTTTTTTTTGTAGTTGATGGGCAGCAGCTGTCTATTGCAAGGAGAGATTTTGTAAGCAGATCGAGACAAGTAGTGTCGAGATGAGAACAAACCTCAAGACGCAATGTAAGCTGTTGATTATCTGGTATGAAATATTCGAAACACACATAGAAAAATACACAAAATGTTTTTCATATATGAGTCTTTAGTTCAAATTTTTCACACCGGATAAGCAACAGCTTATTTTGCAACTCAAAATTTAACAGTTAAACATGGTTTTCATTTTCCAAGTCGTTTTGTTTAGTTGCTCTAGGAAATGTTTTGCCTTATTGTTTCAAATTCTGCACAATTTTTTCAAATATTTCGCCAAGGTTTTGTATTTTGCCATGATATTATTTCTTTAACCATGTTAACTATCCAAACTGCTCGTCACAAAACTTCGTAAAAAATAAAGCAAAATCAAAAGGATGCAAGTCCTGCAGAAGTTTTGCAAGATTGTTGCAAGTTTTGTATATTTTTGCAAGAAACATACCAAGTTTGCAAACCAAAAAACTATTCGTCCTTTCAATTTTCTTCTACCTTATAAGTTTTTCTAACTTATTAATACTAAGCGCTATTAGGACTAAATGCTTAACGTTTTCCGCAAAAACATGAAGAGCAAAAGTATCAGAATAATTTAGTTGTTCATTACTATAACAGTGCACAGAAATTACAATTCAAAATTAAATTTAAAAAAATCAATAGAGGGGTTAAAAAATTGCCTTATGAGTGTTTTGCGTCATATGGCCAAAAATATAGCGAAGTTTCTAAGAACTTGAATTTTCATTTGTACTCGTCAGGATTATTCGCCATTTTTGGAATCAGTTTAAGTTTAGAACTCCCCATTTTACCACGAATATAGACAAGACTGCTCGTATCAGGGCAAATCCCTGAAAGTTGCGACTCTTTTTTAGATTCTATGAAAAAGTTAAAATTAAAATTTCTGATGAAAATTTCCAGAAAAAAAAATTGAAAACTCAAATTTTCCTTAATTTTTTTTTTTTAAATCATCCCCCACACGCCACAACACGATTGCAATGTATTAAATATACCAAAAAAAACATGCATCAATCTAATTCTAAGACGGAATAAATATCGGCCTAAGAGGTAATCGCACGAGTATGTCGCGGTTTAATTGACCCAAATTGGCCAAATTGTCAATGTAATCATCCCCATTTCTTTATGAAAAATGATTGTGGAGAAATATCTTTTTTAAGTTGGAGTTTTGAGTTCAGGACAACAATACCTTTCGAAAGACATTAAAAAATTCCGTCCAAAATTGCAATTTGAAACGTCGAAATAATCCACCTCGAGCACAAATATTTCGTCACTTTCGTCAAAAATAGTTGGAACAATAAATGGACAAAAAACTAATAAAATCGGGAAACAAATTCTTTATAAATGTTTTCCTAATCCAGTTATGGCACTTTAATTGGTTATGAAGTTTTTCGATGCCCCTTTTGATTGACGATTCAAATGAAATTTATTCATTTATAATCGTTTTATCATGCAGACTCATCATAAGTAATTATCAAGGGGTTGCAGATTTTGAAAAATCTCATCGACCGTTTTTTAGGTCATCGATGATGATGTTTTGAGTTAAAAACTACTTTTTTCATGAAATTATATTTTTTGAGGTGACTTTGATCGCTGCGTTAACTGAAAATTGACTAAATCATTTAATGCTAAAAATCACAGTTAAATATCAGTTTACACCAGCAGTTATATTTTCAAAGTAGGCTTCAAAAGCGTAAAATTAATTCTGCTATTTTTATTGCAACACCAGTCAATTTATGAAATAGTTTCAAATCTGGTTCAAACACTCGTTTCAGCTCTTTCTTTCCTTCTTCGGTTAGTTTTTCTGGGTAACCAGAATGTCCTCTGTCATCCGGAAAGCAATAACTTGTAGGTAAATAACAATAATAACCCAGTTTTTTTGGCAAAAAACCAAAGTTTTCGGCTTTAAATTCGTGTGGAATATCCAGAAAATCCTCTACTTTTTTCAGCGCTGTAACTGGATTGTTTTTAGCAAACTCATCACCATTCAGAATTAAAAACTGATCAATTGAAAAAAAACCAAGCCAGCGTTGTAAATGAAATCCATAAAACGAGAAATCAACAAACCCATTTTCAGGCTTTAATAATGTTTCAGTAAGATTTGTTAAATTGAGTCCTTTATTTATAACTTGATGGTAAACTCCTGAAATTGCACGACGTATTGGATCCCGAGCTATTAGAATAAATCTGAGTTTCTTTCTTAGGTAATTTTGATAATCCAAAATTCGCTCCGGGGCTAATTTGTGGGCTAGATAATTGGGAGTTTTCTCAATCGAAATTTGAAACGGCTTCGAGTACATCATACTTTTTCTGTATATTTCGTAATTTGTACCATTTTCAAAATTTTTGTCCCGGTTGAAAAATTGTTGTTCAGTCATTTGAGCCGAAATTGATGAGTGAAAAGACAAAAATTTCATCAATGCCGTTGTCCCACATTTTTGGGCCCCAATTACAATGGCAGTTGGATATTTCTGAGTTTTCTTATATGAGGAATTGATCTTTTTCTGTGTGTATTCAAATTTTTGTGGGCTGTTATTTTTGATAACTGGTTCTTGGTAATTGCTCAGATCAATTAGCAATTTGTAATTGATTTTTTCCTGGTGTTTTTTATTGAAAACACGATATATCGTTGCAATAAAAAGTAAAACAATGGCAATAAAAATAAAGCGCTTCAAAGTTCCTAAACTCATGACTTTAAGTAATATGAAAGCTCTAGAAAAATCAACCTCTAGCAATGTGCGTTACCAACTTGAATAATTTACAAACTCATATAATGATGTTTTTTGCATCAATAAATCTGCATTGTTGTATAAAAAATAATCAACGAAAGCTGGTTCAAGCAGTATCTCATGATTTAAAACAAGCCTAGAAAAGATTGCATTTTGTGTTGTTCAGGGAACCATGAAAATGCAATGACTACTCAAACGCAAAAAATAAGGCATTGGAAGTTTTTTATGCTTTTCGCTTTCATGATTTCTTTGACATCAAAAACGTGGTACAAACTTTTTATTAAGACTTGCATTCAACCGAAGAAAGCTTACTCGAAAGCTGTTACCGAAAACTTTTTTATTTAGCTGTCATGTCTTTCAAAAAAATACAAGACAATATTTTGAACGTTTTTTCTTTCGTGGAATACTTTGTTCCATTCTAATAATCTAAGTTTTCTAACCCAAAAAATTACCCCAATGTCAACTGAATACAAATAGTGGAACGCCAACGTGTTGCGAGGTTGTCCACGGAGGTTAGGATTCTATACGTAACTAAGAGACAATTGTCAACGCGAAGCGCGACCTATTATGAGACTCTAACTAAAGGGTAGAATGGTGTTGAATCTCATTGTATAGAGTACATTGGAAAATAGGGTACAGAAGTATATGGTGGAAACGCCTAGCATAAAAGAGCTAGATTTTCATGGGACCGGAGAGGGCGCGGAAGAATCCTTCTGAAGGGTGCACAACGAATCATAGCGTTTTCGAACTATAGCAAATTAGATAAAATTAAGAATGTTCAGAAAATTAGGCAAACAAAGTGGAAAGCGAAGCGCAGTTCGATGAGGCAGGAAAGCACTAAGAGACGAGTAGTTAAAAGAGTGAAGAAAATTTTCAAAACGATAGAAATTCCAACATTACCCGGCCAAACTGTTCACCGAATAGGCGCACAGTCTGGTGTCTGTAGGTCACTGGAATCCAGAGACGAGTTTTTGAACATGCTCCAAAATAGAAGTTTTCGCGGATTCCACGCACAAGTACCTGTAACGTAAGTTTTGTCAGCATATACTTTTTTAGCGGATTCCCCAACGAGTAAATATAGCTAGTTACTGCGGATACCGCAATTTTAAACGAATTCCGCAAAATTTAAGCAAGTTCCGCGAATGTAACAGGATTGCGCTGACAATTTGCGGATTTCGCTTACAAATTGCAGATTTCGCGACAGCGTAATTCTGCTATATATATATATATATATATATATGATCCTATTTGATTGATTTGTTTATGAATTCCACAATCCGATCAGAATTCCATCAGTTTTTTTCGTCGATTCTCCTGTTTTTGAAGAATTTTGAGCGATAGTGTTTCAGCAGCAATCCAAAGAACATCATTACATTTTCCACTACAAATTTTTTTTCGCCCTGTAGCGGAATTTACTTACAATTCTCACAATATATCTTTTGGCCTCGTATTGAAGTAATCCGGTTTGACTCACTATTTTAAAAACACCCCCTCTATCCTATTTATGAAAACTTCAGGACAAATCTCTGTTTTATAATTTTCTTAGATCTTTCGAAAATCGTTTAATTTAACGATTGTTTTTCGGTTCAACGAATTGCAAAAACGAGCTCCAATTAAAACAAAAAAAGATTTGTCCCTCTATTTTCACACTTTTTGTAAGAATGTTTTAAATTTGAAAAAAATTTAAGTTTTTTCCTACTTTACGTTTTTTTTTCCAGAAATTGAAAAAAGCTTAGAAATTCTGAACTTTTTAAAAAATAAAGGTTTGAAAAAAAATTCTGAGCCTCTTTTGCACATAAACTGAAAACGTTAGTTCTTAGTTAAACTTATAAATCTAAATTTGACAATTTTTTTTCAAAAACACGCCATAAAAACTTTTCGCGTCTGAATGAATTGCTACTTTATTTCGATTTAAAACTTTATCATCTTTGACTCTTGTGCCCAATCAACACCTAAGTTGATTCTTGAAATTTAGAAATGACCAACATAGTTTCCATTTTCACCTTAAATCTTCAAGATCACTAAAACACCAAAAAAAACTCTGAGAGGAATCCTGAGAGTTTGTTTAAACTGTCCGCCACAGCAAGCAACGATTTTCCCCTTTTGATGGACTGAAGTAATTATTTCTATGTGAACAAAGTCTGCAGATTTCGATACTTTAAGATGGCGGTTCAAGTAATAAGAAGCGACAGCGTCTGTGACACGAAGGTCAAGCGCCTGTGACACGAAGGTCAAACAAAAGAGCCAACCATCTGACCTATACAACAAAAAGTCTAGCTTTCAGTATTTTTTTATTGCGAGATCTCGTTTCTTATCCGTCCAAATAACTGAAGCAAGGCCTTAAATATTGTCTATTATCTCGTTATAACGCAAAGTCAGTCACAATCCTTTCTTTACAAGTCGTAGCATATTGCAGGGCGAAGTCTCGTTGACGGCCATCATGTTTTCGAACAAAACTCCTGAGTGATCCAACCTAAACACTCAGAAATTACCAAAACAATTCGAACGAATTTTAATGTTCTGATATGGATGAATTTTATCAGTTGCAGTTTAAATTTTTCGCAGTTCTCGTCAAAATGTTTTTCGGTCGGGTTCATGCAAACTTTCAGATTCTGGTTTTAAAAATAATTGGACGTGTTTTCAATCAATCTCTTATTTCTACTTACTTCGAAGCTGAAAAATGTTTCAAGGTTAGCTACAAAAACTTGTAATAATTCATGTCATACAGCTCGGCATTCCTTGCATGCGGGGCTCAAATATCATCGATAATGACTTTCTGCTTTAGTACGTTTCAAAAATCAATTCTAACTTGTGCTATACTAAAAGCGTAGAATCATTATCGCTGATATTTGAGCCCCGTATGCAAGAAATGCCGAGCTGTATGACACGAATGATTTCAAATTTTTGTAGCTAACCATGAAACATTTTTCAGCTTCTAAGTAAGTAGAACTAAGAGATTGCTTGAAAACACGTCCAAATATTTTTAAAACCAGACTTTAAAACCAGGACTTTCCTTTTTTTTAGGAGGGATTCGACCCCCTGCCGACCCTTTGTACTATCTTGAGATATCCATTTTTGGCAACAGATCCTTAAATTTTTTCATAATTTTGCCTGCGGCGCAGAAATATTGGCTAAACGGTCTCTTTAGTGCGATGGGAAAACTCGGAAAATAAAAAAAAGGTCGACAAAATTTTCGATTTTTTTGAAAATCCGCAACCCCCCTCGAGAAAATCCTAGATCCGCCCCTGCTCCAAATGATAATCATGAACAAATGCATCATGAATCTTGGGAGCTGGTTTCTAATACTTCCATTCCAATTAAACACTTTATTATTAGATCGTACAACGTTTCGCCGCGTGCGAATCGTCGCCTTTTTTTTAAAAAAAAAACGCGAAAATTCATTTTCGACCAATTGTCGCTTTCGAAGCAATTTCGCCCCACGACAATCGCCAGTCGCAAAGATACGGAACCTCAACTCATCTACTATTCGACGCAAAACAAATTATTGTATATTTAATTCGAATCTGGTAATAGAATTCCTAGAAGCATGAAGGCACGATTGAAGCAATCTATTTACAATATATTACCCAAAATAAATTTCATCACTTTTATTTGTAACAATAAAAACCATCCAATGTCAGTCAATGGAATAGGTGGTAGGTACAGCATGATAAAAAACTGGAATTCTCTCATATTCAAACAATTATAATTCGGCTCTTTTTCATGCGATGACCAACTCGTGAACAATATTTTGGTCACACCAAGCAATTTCGATAAAAACTTAAATAGAAGAGGTCGTACTTTTCATTGTTTTATTTTCGCTATTTGTCAAATTATGTTCGCATGAACAATCGCTTTCATCATAATTGAGACGACATACGAATGCCAATTTGAATTTCCACCAACTAATTAAAAAATGTCTCACTCAAAAATTTGATGTCCTCAAAATGTTCGGGCAACTTATACTCATTACACGGAATACATTATTCTAGTGGTATGGAAAAGGAGCTCTGATTCGGGTGGAAGAATTGATGTAGATGATGATGATGATGGAAGCAGTAATAATGCTGATGATGAGAAGATAAGAAATATATAAACCAGCTTCAATTTAAACAAATAATTTCAAGGAGTAAAAAAATAAACGGCACCTTACCTAAATCACTAGCTAGCCCCGATACCAAATGTACATACAATTTGTGAAAACATTTTCCCTTCACTTTCAAGTGCAGTCTCAAAATTACATGAGATGAACTTTGTACAATAGTAAAATATCATAGCACCATCACATGGATTTGTATTAAAGATAACTCGCTCATATATAGTAACTGATTATTTAGTACATAAATTACACTTAAGATGACGCGTCCAAATTGACTGAAAGTAAATAAATGACAACCACGAAACTAAGTTACTTAACTGAAAAATTTGTCAGTTGGAGTTCAACCGCTTGGCCGCATAACATTGTAGTTTAAATGCCACTGGTGTTCAAATTAAACATGCTCCTTAAAAATCCGATATCCTCTTTGAGAGCATGTTATCTAATACTACTATTTTTTTTACTTATTAGCAGCAACTCAGTTCAAGTTAAGTACAACAAGTTCATTCAACCGCAGCAATTTGCTCCACTGAGTCATTCCAATCATTCATGCATCGCTGTCCATACATATGCTTTTCAGAGTCACTCGTGGCAGTATTTTAAAAATTTGGTGATATATATATTGGTGATTCTATTCGCGCTGGTCAAGTGATAATTTTCCTTAAGTTCTTTCGGCTCACTTGGCGTCGCCTCCGTTACCATTGACCTCTGTCGCTAGGTCTTCAATTTCATCATCATCGTCACTATTACAAGCGCTGTTGCTGTTAGATGACGAGTCCCCGTTTAAATTGACGCCTTTAAGCACTTTCTCAATCTCTTTTTCATCTTCAAATTCATCGTCAAGTTCCAGTTCCTCCGACACCTTCGGCTGGTTCTCAGCCTGAACATCTGGCCAGTTTATTCTGGCCAGACTTGTCATCAGCTGTTCTGGATCATTCCACGGCTTAAATTTGGGGTTCTTCTGCTTGTTTTTCCACTTGTCGTACTTTATGCATGCTTTCTGAAGAACTTTGATTTGCTGAAACAGAAAAATTTGTTGCTCGCAAAACTCAAAGTATAGAAAGTTCTCACGCATGAAATTCTGATTTAGAATGAATTCCAAAATCAATGTGCTAATGCTCACCCTAGGTGCAAATGTCTTCCCCACGCTGTTCACAAACCAACTTGGTATTGATCCTGAAACGAAATCAAATATTGGAATTTCAGACTAAGACGATATCAAATTATTATCGGGAGAATAATAAGTGATTGGACTTCAACCTAGCTGAGACAAAACCTGAACAAACTAATTCAATCATGTTATAATAATCTAACAACATCACAACTGAAAGAAGGTCAGTTCTACGGCAATCACTAAACTTCTAACTTAGTTAGTTGAGAAATAATAAAGAGGTCAGATCTCATTGCCAGATATCAATTTTAACCAAATCAGTTGTCCAGACAAATAATTAAAGTTCAGGCAAATTACCTTTGGGGTCACTTTGACTGATGTATGTCAGATGACAATTTGCTTCGTTGTCCTTGCCTTTCATTGGTTTGATGAGGAACCCTGTCAACTCTGATATTCCCCTGATGAAACCTTTCTGCGGAGGATAGTCCTTAAAGATAACAATTGATTATAATGCATGTCATCAACAAGGATAGGTGGTTACTGTGCAAGTTAAACAAAATGTTCCGACCACATTCATAAAACACAAAAAAATTCTTCAAATTACTAAATTTTTCGAATTAGTGTAGGTTCTTGTACGTGATGTGATAGGAGAAATATACACACTCGCGTAGTAAATTACGCATAATTTCTCATTTTTTTGCAAAATAATTTTTTAAAATTTCAGAAAACGTTTATTGAAAAAGTAAAAAAAAGTGTTCGTGGCGGGAGTAATTTGCTTTCCTTATATCAAATGAATTTGAACGGAAACGAAAAACGAAACTTTCAAAAAAATAAAGCTTAAAGAACTTGAGCCTTATCAAAAATGAAAAAACTTTCTATTTCCGTTCAAAAAATCATCGACTCAAGTGGTAAACTGCAAACATTCAATATTACGGCCATTGTTAAAACTGGAACTCAATATTAAGGCCATTGTTAAAATAAAAAAGAGGGTTGCGATTTATTATGTGTCCTATTGAAAAGTCGGTTCTTTTCACTAAGTAACTCAGCATGGTTTTTTTAAAGTTTCAACTTTACACGTTTCCCTGAAAAAGTTAAGGCTCAACAAAGCTCCCCAAACAGATGTTCAATTTGTCTCAAATGATTTTCAATTGGAGGAAAACAAGTCAAGCAATACAATCGACGGCGTGAAATAAGTGTTTAGATACACTGTCGAGAGGGAACTAAGCCAAAAAAAACTTGACATGAAAATGTCATGAAAAACTATTTTTATTATTTTGTTCAGAGGGCAAGGGGCAATTAAACTATATTTCCCTTCCAACTTAACAAAATTAGTAACACGATAAAACAAAAGACGAAACCATTTAAGCCGAATAAAGATTGAGCAGAAAAAAAAACAAGGAAAATATACAAAGTCAGGGCTAGTAAATTTACATGTTCGGGACTAAACCACAAACACTGCCAACTACAATGAGAATTGCTTAAAGCGCAAGAAAAGTCTGCGATATGGCAACTCAGCTGAAAACAATCAGACGAAGAGGCGAAAGGGAGCTTCGCACCACTTGTGATGCAACGCAAGCGCAGCATTACGAGCAAGTCAATAGAAGTGAGATGCAACGGAATCCGTTAAATTACAAAAAAAGAAAATTTGTTCAAAGAAAAACTTAAAACGTTTCAAGAAACCGGATATAGCTACAACATGCTATTTAATTACTGCTAAAACTTCGCATAAAAATAAAGAGACCTTGGTTTAAAAAATAATCCAATCACACAGAGGCCAAGCGGTGCTTCCCATCACTTTCGATACACCTCAAACGTACCACTGCAGATACTTTTTGAAAATAACCAATTTTTGTTATCAAACTACAGAAAATAGTCAATTAAAACATAAGTCGAAACCAATTTACTCGGAAAACAAAATTAAAAACTATATCATAATTCGAGTTGGTAAATTGACTCAAAAAAAGACAGCTGTCGATTAAAGTATGAATTCCCTAGATCACACTAAAACCCATGCTTTCAAATTTAAGCTGACAAAATAAGCAGACAAACAAAAGTCCGACCTTTCAATTTTTCCCGGAAAAAAAATTAAATTTCGTATATAATAAAAAATAGGTCTGACCGTGACTCTAAGGCCGCCATTGATCAAACAATGGTCCGAAATTCTTTTGAAACAATATTTTCAGTTTGAAACAAAACAGATTCTGGCCGGACTCAAACCTATAACTTTTGCCGTCCCAGGCGTGCTACCTCTAGGCCAAGGGTGCCGGAGAAGCCAAGAAATTCGAAATCCATTTAAGCCAAGCTACAAAAAGATTTATTGAAACAACTTATTAACCCAAAAAAACCTATATTCCGATAATAACCAAGATAATAAACAAACGGAATTAGAAAAATCTCAACTAAAATGTTAATTTTAACACAGCTGAAAAATCTTTGAAACTAAAATCGACCAAAGACTACAGGTCATTCGCGTTTTATTTTCGCGCAATTTCCTCTTTTGTTGACGGAGAAGGAGTTTGCCGTCAATTTAGCAATTAAATTCCAAGCGAACTTAGAAAGAAAAGTCGAACAATCTGGAACACAAAATGAAGCGTTAACAATTTTTTAAAAAAAATAAGAAAAAAGAAACCTATCGGCTTGTTATCCTGCATGAGGATAGATTAAGTCAAGTTCCATTGAAGTGGCATTAGCAAGTTTGCGAAAAAAAAAACTTATTTTTCCAGAAAATGAAGGTTTAAAACGGGTACGCCATGTAGTAATTGGATTAGTTTTTAACTTGAATGATTCTTGATTATCTAAATTATAGATTTGCGTATTTTTCTTCCAAATCAAAACAAGAATAGCCGGTTGCTGTGCTAGTAGCACAAAAGTTCCGACCACATTCACATCTTCGACTTCGAGATTTAGATTCACACGTCCTGACATCTGAGCTATGGTCGCTTGATAATCATAAAACACTAGCCACCAATAAACCAGATAAAATAGATATAACACAGAGGCGAACCTGTATGTCAGCAAACACGAGCGAGAAAGAGTCAAAAATATGAGAGCTTTAAAATGCGCAAAAACTCAAATTTGCAAATAGTAATTTGGAATGTAGTAAAACTTTGCACGTGATAAAACAGAAATTGCGTATAAGCTATGCATTTCAAAAAGCTCGCAGTATATTGAGCTTTTTTCAGTTCGATTGATGAAATAAAAATAGTATCAACTGTGCTAACTTATACTAATCAAATGTCAGATCACATGTGAATATACTGCTAATGCAGCCCTAATTCAAAAGGGACACCAAAACTAGCACTATTATCAGCGACTTAGGATGAAAAAAACTAATCGGGTAAAATCTCACAAGCTACGCTCGTGTAATAATATGCAAAAACAAACCAGATACTATGCTATTGTTGCAAAAAGCCAACAATTTTTGCGACTCGGGTTGAAAAAATAAACTTCTTAAAATGACACTACGCTCACTAGTTCGCTTGATGAGTAAAGATACTTTGATTATTTTACAGCAAAGAAACGTAAAAAAAAAACTTTGAGGAAGATAGATGAATAGGTACTAGAGAGCGTAATTTACCTTTCAATTAACAAAAAATAGAGTGAGCTCAATAAAAATCAAATCGCAAAAACAAAATTGAGCGGGACCAAACTTTTAACAACTTTTCCAACAAACAAGTGCACGTGAAAATGAAGTTCAATTTTTGTGCCATCTTCATTTTTGATGGTGCGCATTTTTAGCTACACTTGGAACAAATCATGCTCTAAACTCACCAAACTATAGAAGTCTCGAAAGAATTGAAAAAAAAAACAGTATGTAATTGGAAAAAATACTCGAAATAAGCAACAACGTAAAACAAGCTTTTAGTATTTACCTAGCGGAACACACGCCAAATTAGCCAAAAAAGAACAAAAAAAATGAAGCAAATAAGTTTCAGAACTTACGCTAACATCGACCTGATTTTTCAAACGCCGCGCAATAAATTAAGCTAGCATGTAACGCAAATCCGGTGCTTCGAATTTATGACAACTCATAAAAACAGCATATATTGGAAATAATATTTGCATGCTTTGAGTGTACTCTGAGAAAACCCAAGTATTACACAGGGTTGGTAATTTCAAATTTTGTAAAGTTAGTCAAGTTTTTTTTTAATTCAAATTTTGAAAAACCATACATTTTTGTTATTTTTTTAATATCAGATCAATGAAAGTTTTTAAAATGACAGAAAAACGTCACATCTCGAAAACTAAAAGCAATTGAACAGTCGCATTTGGACGCAAGATTTGCAAATTCTGAGAGTACTCACAACAGTCAACTACAGGGTCGGGAAGTTTTCTAATTTTATTTTTGAAAAAACCACGGAAAGTGCCATATCCCGAAAACTACAAAAAATTAAGCACTCATATTTGGGTGCACAATTCGCAACCCCTGAGATTACTCTGACAGCCCCCAACTTCTGAGTTAGAAATTCCACAAATTTTGAAAAAATTTAGCTTTTTTGAAAAAATTTTTGAAAAAAATTATAAAAACGTCATATCTCAAAAACTACAAGGATATAAGCAGTCATACTTACTCGCAATCCCTGGAAGTGCCTTTATAAAACATCAGATAGGAACATAAGAAAATTTTTAAATCTAAGTTCTTTGAACAATTAAGAAAAACACTATAAACGTCACATCTCGGAAACAAAAAGCATTAGAGCAGTCGCATTTGGACGCAACACTGCAACATGACACTCCTGAGAGTACCCTGACAGGACCCTGACAGGACCCAACTACAAGTTTGAGAATTTCAAATCCTTTGAAATTTTTAAAATCCAAGTTTTCTGAAAAATTAAAAAGAATTCATAAAAAACTTCATATCACAAAAACTACAAGGATTGGAGCAGACATATTTCGAGGCGAGATACGCAACCCCATGGGAATTTCAAATTTTAAAAAATAAATTTAAGTTTTCTGAACTTTTTTTCAAAACATCACAAAAAACGTCATATCTCGAAAAGTACAAGGATTTGAGCAGTCACATTTGGAGGAAAAAACTGCAACTCCTGGTAGTACCCTGACAGAGCCTTATTATAGAGATGAGAACTTCAAATTTTGTGAATTTTTCTATATCTAAGTTCATTGAAAAACTTACAAAAAATCCTGAAAACCGTCATATCTCCAAAAGTACAAGGATTTGAGCACTCACTTTTAGAGGCAAGAGTCGCAAGCCCTGAGAGTACCCTCACACTTTCCAATAACAGGATTGAGAATTTCACAAAAGTTTCGAATTTTTTAAAATCTGTTTTTTTGAAAATTTTTGAAAAAATTATAAAAATCGTCATATCTCGAAAACTACAAGGATTTGAGAAGTGAGATTTGGAGGCAAGATTCGCAACCCCTGAGGGTACCTTGACAGCACCCAACTACAGGGTTGAGAATTTCACGTTTTGTGAAAACTTTTCAAGTTACCTTTTTTGGAAAACTTTTGAAAAATCTCGAAAATTGCCGTATCTCGTAAACTAAAAAGATTTGGTAACTCATATATGGAGGCCAAAATCGCAACACCTGGGGAAGCCCTCGCAGCATCCCAACATTGGGTTGCTAGTTTCAAACTTGGTAAAATAAACATTGAATTTAAACTGGAAAATCGAAAAAAAATCTTAATCATTGCAATATACGATATAGCTTAAACATGCAAAAATATTACGTTGAAAAAGCTTGACGATGGCGAGATAGTGAAGCCCGCATTTAAATATATAATAGATTGGCCGATATAATACAAGACGAAATCAATTAGAATGAAAAAAAGCTAAGGAAGTGAGTAAGTTCAAAAATGACAGGAGCAACTCAACAACACCTGCAAATAAAATGAAAGAGGCTGATAGCTCAAAAAATTGTGAATTGGCTCCTTGAAAAACAAAGCAGACAAACGAAACTCTGACAATGTAACTTTTCACGGATAAAAATCACCATTTCAAGTTACACTGAAAAAAAACAAGGTCCAACAGGGGCTCGAACCCAAGTCGTTAAGAATCACCTCTACACCAAGTAGTGAGGAATCTGGAAGTTTTTGCCGCTCAATAATTTCAATGAATATTAAGTTTATCATGCGACAACAAAAACATTGAATTAGAAGACAAGGAATAAAAAATGAGACGAAAGTCAAATATAAAAAAATTGAAAAAGTTACTTAAAAAAAACACCATTGACCAAAATTTCATACGATTGTATTCAATGAGGCCGTAAAAAGCCTCATCAATGATTTAAAGAGTGTCAACTAAGCCGATAAAACTTGGTTCGAGTATAGGAAATTCTTTTCACCTCCAAAATACGCAATCTGAGGTGATTTAATCGATATAGCATAAGCCGAAACCGTTTTATCAAAAAAAAAACATCAAAATCATAGTTGAAAAACTTACAAATTACAGGACAAATTTCAATTATAGCAGAAACTGTTGAAATCAGATTACAACTTCATGTTTTGTTAAGTAATCCGATGACAAAACCGCACTAGATAATAAACACGCATGTGAAAACACGGAAATTGAGCCGACAAAAATTACGAATCCGAAAAAAAACGAACGTTTTTTCTGTTTATTTAAATAAATTAATTACTACCAGAAATGAAGCCAGTAGTTATAGTTGAATTTTCAAGAAATTGAGCATGTCAGCCTGCACGGTAGACTGCACGTATTCTGTAGTCCTGATCTCTACTGTCACTAAATAATAATTTCTGCCTTATGAATTTAGTTACCTTGTGATTGACGCTGTGATTGAATATTGCGTAATCTTGACCATTATATAGCCATGATCTCTGCAGCACAAAGTCCCTGTTTCTAAGTGGAGACTGCAACTTCACTAAAAAACACATAGCCTTAATATATGTGTTCAGTAAATTCATTGATTGCACAAGAAATTGTTTCAGAACAATTACATAGGTTAGTTATGTTAGTTGAGATAACTGCTGTAATTTGACCTTAAACGTACTCGCATAGTAGGATATGATATTCATGGGGTCTATGTAACATATGTCTTCTGTCCTCACACAATATGCATCCCAACTATGAGTGTACGCTGTGTCCTGTAAGGTGTCATACAGAAGAGCAGCACTGATGCCAGGAAAGAGCGCCTTAATCTAAAAAGTTAGTCGATTAAACTAAATGCAAATTGAGGTAAAAGCACTAACTTAATCAGGTTCAGCCTGCACAGCATTTGAGAGACTTCAAAATCACATCAAACCTTGATCTGCTGAATTTTTGTACCAGGTGTTTGCCTTGAGTATATAAACAGCTGCTTCTTGTTGTTTTTCAGCGACAATGTCCAACTACTATCATTATCAGCCGCTTCTCGAAAAGTTTGGAAATCCTTGCTTTCCGGAACTTTTACTTCCCCGACCTCCATGAAATCAGATCTTAAATGAAGCATTTTTAGAAAAATAAGAGTTACCTATTAGTATTAGATTTCAGAAAAGTCAAAGCAGATCTTTCGCGTTAATCCAAATCTTCAATACAAAAAGTAAGTCCAACTAGCCATGCAAAACCCGATTTAATGAACACACTAATGAATACAAAATAAAAATTTTATATCTGTACTTCACAATACATTCATTGGGATCATGAGTCTTTATGATACTCAACATGTGAATAACATCTGTAAATGGCACTTTAGCTGCTGTTGCGCGAAACGGACAAACTCGAATGATTGATTGAAACATAAAAAAGCACTTTGCTTTATGAAAAAAAAACATCGCAATCCATTATTCATCAAAGCCCCAAGCCAGTTGTGAAATCAAATTACTTAAATCCATTGAAAATAGGTCGAGCTTCCATTGAAAATAGGTCGAGCTTTACTGAAGTTCCTAGTGACTCCAAAAAATGATTCTAAAAGTTTTAATTAAGAATCAGGTTAATCCGGTATATAAAATAAACATAGACTCAGGTTAGAACAAATTTGAGTTTGAACCATCCCATAGGTCGGCTTCATTAGAAGCAACTTTTTCTGACGATGAGGGTTCAATCCTGTCCTCGCTACTTTCCCACGTTCCTTTGCAATATATAATCTTTAATTTCGGCAATTGACTCTTGGGAGTTTCTATTAAAAAAAGCTTTTGAAAAAAGCTCTGATCTTTACTCCTAACAAAATGCTTCAGTACACTTTTTCATTTAAGTAAAACATGGTTTAAAGTTCCGAATTTTAATTTGATGAAAAATTTCACGACAAAAGTATTGTGATTGATTAATAAGAAATACCATGACAATTAAATAGACCAAAAGAGTTGTTTCTAAGTATTTATTCCGGCCAAAAAAAATCGAAAACTGCTTCCAAAGCCGTTCGTGCATTCATAGTATAGCATCCATAGTATAGATATATTGGGATGACTTTAGTTCACTCAGTTGCTGCTGGTAGATTGTAATATGAAAAATTTTATGCATCCGCAGTTTTTTCTGATTTTTAAGAGAGGTGATTCGGATGTTGAATAGCCACATTGGGTAATAAAATTCCTTGATACGGTTTCCTCATTTAAACGAATTTTGGATCCTCAATTAAACAAAATTTGGATGATCAATTGAGCAATCTCCCACCCCCCTTTTCTTGCGATTGGGCAGGACTCTAGATAATTTTTCAACAAAATACCGATCGAAGATACTAATGAAATAGCACTTAGGCTATTTTGGGAACAGACCAATGCTGCAGGTTCGACTCGCGACTTAATGTTACTGAACACGGCAATTTTTTTAAATTGCCTAATACATCTGTAAAATTGAGTTTTATTTTTCGCATTGCGATGACAAACCTTAATAGCTTTGCTTCAAACAAAATCCGATAAAAAGCACAAAATGCTCGTGTAACATTCGTCAAAGTATTACTTAACGACGGAAATTAGAAAACTCCAGTTAGTTCTAGTCTATTTCAGGGTGTACGAACGCGCGCTTCAATTTTGAGGATATAAGCCGAACGGAGTTAACTTACCTTTCTGCGTGCAAGAATAAACACATGGTTGGGTCTCTGTATCCCCAGTCAATGTGGTTGTGACTATGAACGAGATTAAAAGCCATTAAATTTTAGTGACAGTTAAATAATGAATTCATAAGAGAGTGCTTGACCTTTCCTTCCTCTCAACTACTCGCGCTGTGATACAAATCTTTAATTTGCAGTTCAATAATTATTCAGGGAAATCTAGTCGTTTAAAAGGTGAAATTCAGTCTTTGAAAAAAGTTCCCACGGCCTCTACTTCAACGCGTCGATATTACCCAAACAATTGGATTGGAAGGGTTCGGATCTGTTCCGAGCCTGTCGCTGGACCTTCCCTTTTCACACTATTGGGAATCTTACATTCGTGTCGTACAAGTGTTCCGTATCGGATATAGTAGTAGTAGTAGTAGTAGTAGTAGTAGTAGTAGTAGTAGTAGTAGTAGTAGTAGTAGAATAGGCTTCAGAGCATTAGCTCTAGGGAATTTCACCCCTTTTACAGTCCATGTTTTATCTCAGTTTGTTGTAAACATTGCAGTTTCCACATCTGCATAAGAGTTTCCATGTACATTTGTTGACTTCACTGTACATTTTTTTGAAGTATTTCTGGTATATGTAGGTCAGAGTCGCTTTGCTTGGTCTAAGACTAAAAGTTGGGCAGGCTCGGATAAGACAGTTGTATAGATGTTTCACTCGTCTGAAAAAATTGTCGTCCGTTCTTTGCAAGCGGCTTTTTGGGATTTGAAATTCGCCTCTTGATGACTGTCGGGTGATTTCGCATGATTCAGATGGTTTTCGTTCTATTTCTACATCGTAACGATTTTCAAGCAGGGCTATTAGTATTAAAATGTCGTACATTTCCATGTATAGGTTCAAAGGAAGAAGGTTCAGGTCCTTCAGTCTTTCAGTATAAGTTTTGCTTGTTCCCAAAATCCATTTTGTTGCTAACTTTTGAACTCGTTCGAGTTGTTCCATGTTCGATCTGCTAGGAGTCCATGCTTGGGATGCATATGTTACTATGGGTACTACATACCCAGTATATGCGTTAAGCCTGGTGGTCACACTGCTTTTCATAGTCAGACTTCGTTTAATCTGGAAGAGAGCACTAATTGCTTTGGATGTCCGACGAGAGCAATTTTCGTTCCATGTGAGCTTGTTGGACACAATCAGTCCTAGGTCACGCTGTGAGTTTACTGAGGAAAGAATTTTGTTCAGGAGACTAGCTTTTAAATCACCTTTGATGCCGAGGAGCGTTGATTTTTTGATGTTGGGTTGCATTTTGATTTCATGTAGCCATTTGTCTATTTTCAGAGTTGCAGTGTCAAGGGAAGTTTGATTTAGTAGAATGGCCTTAAAGTCATCTGCGTACCCAAAACTGTCTGTGTCATTCATGGTTTCAGGTAGATCGTTTATGAAAAGTAAGAACAGCAGCGGTCCCAGAATTGAACCTTGCGGAACTCTATTAGTGACTTCTCTTAGGGTTGAGCTACAGTCTTCAATCTTAACGCATTGCTTTCTGTTGTTGAGGTATGAATATATCAGTGACAGCAATTTCCCGCCAATTCCAAAAATTTTGATCTTCGTAAGCAGAATATCATGAAGTACAGTGTCGAATGCCTTGGCAAAATCCAAGTATAGAACTGCAAGTTCTTGTACATCCTGTTGATCATTCAATTCGTATATTCGGTCAAGAAATAGAAGAAGTTGAATTGTGGCGAATCTACGCTTTCGAAACCCATGTTGACTTTCATGTAATCTGTATTTCACTTTAGTATAGAGTTTGTCAAATATTATTTTTTCAAGCAATTTTGAGCAGCAGCAGATTAGGCTGATTGGTCTATAGCAACTGACATCGGTTTTACTTCCTTCCTTGAAAACAGGGGTTACTTCACTAATTTTCCATATTTCAGGAAAAAATTCCTTTGTTAAGGCAGGTTTGAAATATAAGGGTAAGTGATTTGCTTAGAGTTTTGTGACATGATTTCAAAATCAGATTGCCAATGTTGTCGTGTCCCATTGATTTATTGACATTAAGTTGCCTCATTATTTCGCTAACTTGACTTTGGTCAACAATAAATCTATTCAGCTCACTTTTTAGAAAGAGGATACCGGTTTGATGTTCTTTTGTGCCAAACACGCTGACGAAATAGTCATTGAATAAATCACATTTTTCACTTTCATTTGATGATTCAGTGTTTCCTTCTTTGACCGTCGAAGGAATTGTTGGGGTCTTGCGTATGCATTTAAGGTTCTTCCTTCTAGGACGGTTTTTTCATATTCCGCTAGGTCATCTTCGGAAAACCTTTGAATATCTTTTTCAAGTTTTTTGATCTTTAATAGTCTTTCGAGACCTTGTTTTGGTTTTCTTTTCATTGTTTGAAGTTTTTTGATGAGGTGGGAGGTGGCTGGCGTGATCCAGGGTTGTAACCTTGATCGATGCTCAGTTATTCTAGGTACAAACTTTTCGATTTTTTCCCACAGCCATTCGTACCATTGTCGGATAATTTCGTTCACGTTACTGTAGCAGTACGGGATAAACGGTTCAGGTTCTATTGAAGAATTTAAGCTGTCCCAGTCTGCTCGTTTGAAAGCATATCGATGATTTGTTATTTTTGGAAGGTTAATGCAGCTAAAGGCGGCAATTGTGGTGTAGAGTGGTTTGTGGTTATAATTGTTTTGCAATTTTTCTGATGTTTTTTTACCGTTCTCTATCGTTAATTCGGTTGTTGTGTTACCTTCCAAACTTCTGTAGAGCTTCCATTTCAGTTTCAACTGCTAAGGCTTCTCGTAAAATATATCTTCTCACCCGGAAGGTTCAAATGTATCATCTGGCAAGTTGGGACATGGAAATTTATTAATGCCAACAAAATCCATCCAAAACTGCTTAAAAAACTTATCGCGCATTCATAGCAAAAAGATAACGTGACAATTTAGTTCACTCATTTGAACTTAACAGATTTTTTGTAAAGTAGAGAATGTTTTACATCGGCAGCCTTTTCATTAACAAGGTTCCTTCAGTAATACAAAAAAAAACTTTTGAAAAAGTTGGCTCAATCATGAATGCATACTTTTGGCATCGTCCGGTAAAAAAATGTATATAAATTAAAGCGGTAGCAGTAAAAAAAAAGTAATGATGCGCTCTACACTACTTTTAAAATTACGTGAGAATAAAATGCTCATCCGCGAAATAGAGAATTTCAAAGGTGAAGCCGAGCTTCCCACAACTTGCTTTCCAAAATCCAGGAAAAAAAACACAATTTCGAAAAATATGCCCCAAAATAAAAATAAAAACAAAAGAAGAACTCCTCATTTTAGGATCTCCAATCGGCGAACTTTGCCGAAAAGAATTGCTCGACGAAAAAATTAAGGAGCTTGAAAAAATCTCGGATGTCATTGACAAACTAGACGCCCATTATGGTTTTTACCTCCTGAAAAAT